TTGAGAGAGAGAGAGAGAGAGAGATAGAGATAGACAGCATGAGCTGGGGGAGAGGCAGAGGGAGAAGGAGAAGCAGACTGTCCAGGGAGCCCGATATGGAACTCCATCCCAGGACCCTGGAATCATGACCTCGGCCAAAGGCAGATGCTTAACTGACTGAGCTACCCAGGCACCCACAAATGCTCTTTTAAAATGAAGAAAACAACCAAACTATTGAACAGAGCTGGTACCCCCTAAAAGGACACAAGAGCCAAGGCAAGAACAAAGTAAGGAGTGTAGGAAAGTTGGGATATAGGGAAACTCTTCCAGAGGCATAGGAGAAAGTACCCAGAACTGGATTCTTCTTTGACTACCCTTCTCTGTAGTCTACTTACTTGCCTTAGAAGAGTGAGCTCTTTTTCTACCTCCACCCTAGAATATGAACCAGACAGAAAAGCCAGAGTAAATGGATACAATATCTCTGAAGCCTCTAATTTCTGGGCACCTCAGCCTCAAATGCTGTACCAAAGAATATTCCATGGGTCAGTGTCCTTGGCCAAAACTCTCCTTAACCCAGAGTAATACCTTTAGCAAAGTTAACAACTTTAGCCCTGAGTAGTATCCATACGACTAGAGACAGTGATTAAGGTTCTCCTCAAGAACAAAAAATCCCATGACTGTTAGAGGGAGCATAGGGTAGGAGGTAAGCATAGAGCAGTAGCAGCAGACCATAACACAAAAACATATTATTTCTTAACTTTCTTAACATTGGACTATGATACCATAGACAACTTGGGTCTTAGAAGCTGAGTGAGTGTAATGGAGATTTGCCATGAAGTAGTCAATAGCTTAGCATCATGTGGCAGGGAATCCTTTTATCTTCTGCCTCAAGAATTTAGGTCCAAGGAAAAAGACCTGAAGAGTTTGGAAAACTGATGTTAATGAGATTATAGAATTATTTGTCTGACGAATGTGGTTAGTAAATGTATAATCTAATGATGATAATGCTAGCTGATAGTAGTTGCCACCAAAGAATACTTATAAATCTTCACGTACTGCCATATATAGGATGGAGACCAGCTGGTTTCAAAGACTGAGTACCCCTAAACAAAAAGTTTGATGTACCCTCTAAATCTTTGGCAGGTACACATGACCTTGGTAAGATTGTTTCTATCATACAGCTCATTATTGGCAATGGCTATATTCAGCACCTATCTTGAATATATTTTTAATACAGCTAAATAAGTTAAAAATGTATCCTAACCCCTTACATTTGAAATTATATGAAGATAAATAAAACACAATAGTGGCATAATTTGTCACCTTCTTTTTTTGCCATACTTCATTGAGAGGACCCAATTATGTTGGAAAATTATGAAAAACAATGTAGTAGGTTTTTTTTTTACCCCTATGTTTCCATTCTCAACAGAAGGAAATGACACTGCATGGAATGTTGCACAGCCTCCTTCTTGAGACTGGGGCTTTTGTCAAATTCAAGAGTGCAAAGACATCATATTGGCATAACCTTAGGAGGTGAAAAAACATTGTGAAGATTTAGGAATTCACTAAAAAAAATACAGTAATACTTTTGAATAAAGAACACTCTTTGGCACACTTCCTATTACATAACTTTCAACATTTAATGACAAAAATCCAGCCAGTGAATACTGCAACACTTGGAATTTGTTTTGCAAAATGTGCTAAAGTGTGTGAAATTGCAATACATGGTAGCCCTACTTTTTTCACTTTTCATCATCTCCAGCTTATGTATGATTTTTTTTATAACAAGATTATTTTATTTTTTTCCAAGTTACTAAATTTCAAATCTTGCTGGTGCTAAAAAGGACGAGGCACTCTAGAGAGATGGCAAGGTTTAGAACCTTATCTGTACACTCTCTCTCCTAACCCATTCGTAAATGTTTAGGAATAGCTAAGTTGGAAATTCAAAAATCTAGGGCAATAGGTTAAGAAAACAGTCATTGCCTCAGATTAACTGATGTTAAACCAATAACAGTGTCAAATAATGTTAATTTGAGGTTCCATTTCATTTATCATTCCGATATAAGAGACCACATTGCATAGTATTACTGTTGTAATGACTGTGTTCATTGAGTTACTTTGGTACATGGCAGGTAAGCAGTTTGTGGATCTAAGCATGCTAGTCTCTTCTCCCTGGGAGTGAAGTTTCATACAGTAGTTTGAGTGACAAACATCTCAGAGCTTGCTCACATTCCTCTGTAGAATAGTCACTTTTGAGAGAAAGAGGTGCGGCTTCGTGGCCTGAGAACAGGACTGTCAGCCAGGAACACAGAGTTCTCATCCAGGAACTATTTCTGTTTTCTTTAGAGATCAGATCATGCTAATAAATCTTTTCAGGACTCAGTTTACCCAGTTAAGAAAGCTGGTTAAGAAAATGTAATAATAGGGATATATTGAGTATTAATAAATGGGTATCGGTTAAATGATTTGAAATGAAAAGTGGTATGAATGTAAGTTTTTTTTTAATGAACTAGTTTATGAAACAAATAAATAATAGAAAAAATTTTGTCCTTTGGAAAAATTACCTCAAAACAAGGAAATTACTTTTAATGAATTTTAATGTTTAAACAGTTTAATTTTTCTAAATAAATATTTTCCTATTCTAGATTGATTTCTTTCTTTCTTTCTTTCTTTCTCTCTCTTCCTTCCTTCCTTCCTCCCTCCCTCCCTCCCTTCCTTTCTTTCTATCTTTCTTTCTTTCTTCCTTCCTTCCTTTCTGATTTTATTTCCAACCTGAGGGGCTAGAACTCACAACCCTGAGATCAAGAGTCTCATGCTCCACTGAATGACCCAGCTAGGTGCCTCTAACTATTTTCCTTTTTAAAATTAACATGCTAAGTATTCTATGTGTTGTAAATAATTAAATTCATCATTAGTTTCTACTTAAACATAAAGAAGTAGTTTCTGTGTTCTATATAGCAAAGGGAAATCCTTTCTGAAGTCCCATGCACTATAAGAATAAACTATAAGTTTAATAACTTAATGTCTAACAGAAAAAATTAAGATCAAAGAAATGTATAGTCAGTCTAGAGTTTTAGCAGGGTGGTACAACAAACTACCTGTTTTGAACTGATAAAGACTTCTTCAAAGAATAAGATACAGGTTCCAAAAAGACAAAATTGTGCAAATGTACACAAACAAAACCAGGACAGGGGGAGAAAGACCTAATGAGTGAGTAATTGTGGTGTTTTATATCTGAAAGAATAAGATATAAAGGAAAAAAAAATCAACTTCAAATGCAAATTTTCATTCTGGTGGCTAGTCAGCATTCCCCTATCCTAAATCCAGCCCCCCAAATTAATTAGCCTTATGTGTGAGGTTGAAAAACAAAACAATAACTTCCAAAAAAATATATTGCGGTTCTTCATAAGAAGATTTAAATCTCCTATCTTCCCCTTTCTTAAAAATGAAAACAAAACAATGGATCTTCAGTTCTGTGTCTGGGATCTCAAATTTGGCTGTGAATATGTGTTTCAAATCTCATTAATTACAATATTGGCCCCATGAGATACAGTTGCTGATGCAAAGAACAGTCTTTGTACTCAAAATAATTTGAACAAGGGCAAAGAAGCATTTTACTTACATGTGTAAACATTAAGAGGAAAATAAAACAGAGATGGTTCAGATGGCTGCTGAGATATTTTAATGATAATTGATTTGACTACCACTGAAGCTTTAAGGTTACCATGTATAGGAATAGTCATGTTTTGACTTAGTATATTTGTTGGATAACAACACTCCTGTGAAGTTAACTCTGACATTAACTTGGCAAGTTCTGAACTAAGACCTTTTAGCATTTTATTCCTTCTAGATACTAAGACCAAATTGTTCTGAATTCCATACCCTACTGTGCCAATCTATTATTTATTTTCTAAATATCAGAAAAGATGCCATTACTCAAAAGACTCTTCCATGTAATAAATCTGAGTAAAAACTAATCAAATGAATAAAAGGCAGCAGTAGACAGGAAATAGCTTCTCTTGTTTTCTCTGTTTTCCTTTCTCTTTAGGAAATAGTAAATTAAACCATAGCTACTTGTGGTCTTGTACTATAAGAACACACGTGGTCTTACATTTTCATCCTATTAACAAATTTGTTGGCTCAGTGGGTAGAAAGTAAAGCCCTCTGTAAAGATGTCTTAATGCCTTACAGGGGAAGGGTCATCTGTTACATATAACCACAACCTAAAAATCTTGCTGAGATCTGATGGTGTCCACTGGCTGTCTTTAAATGGATACTGTAGGGGCGCCTGAGTGGCTCAGTCAAGTGTCTGCCTTTGGCTCAGGTCATGATCTTTGGATCCTGGGATTGAGCCCCATATCTGGCTCCTTGCTCAGCGGGGAGTCAGCTTCTTCCTCTCCCTCTGCTCCTCCCTCTGCTCTTGTTCTCTCGCTCTCTCTCTCTTTCTTCCCCTCTCTCTAATAAATAAATAAATAATCGTTAAAAAAAAGATGGGTACTTAAGAGCAAAGTTAAGCAGCCCTAGTTCCATAAAAGAACCACTTGGAGCTTACAAAAAATACAAATCCCGGCGTCCATCCACAAAGTTTCTGAGTTAGTTCATTTGAGGTGGGGTCCAGATCTTGTATTTAAAACAAAAGTCAACAAAAAATAAATCCTCCTAGGGTAATTCTAATGTGCCATGACTAAGAACCATAGAGAATCCCAACAACAGAGCAAGGATAATAAGTAATTTGTTTTTAGATAACAGTACAAGGCCCACTCTAGGTCTTTAATGAAAATTTACTTTGGTCCAAGTGTGGACAGGAACATGGACTAGCAGCTGCATAGCTCTCTCCTTGACTGCATTGTCTAAGCAGTCACTTATAGGGAGTGTTCTATGGGTCATGAAGCCTTGAGATGCTGATAATTTTCTGGGTTAAAGCCAATGGAAGTTGATAATTGAACAACAAATTACATATGCTAACTCTGAAGGTAGTCTGTAAACAGTGGCAGCAAAAGTTCATCAAAAGAGAGACTTACTTGCTAAGCATCACTCCTGCTTCTCCTGAGTCCATGAATGCCTTGTATCCACCACCAAATCCCTACAGTTCATTGTAAACAGAAAGAGGGATTTTGAATTAGAAATGGCAAATTACTTCTCTTGGAAACTAATCAGCTTAAGCCTATGTGATCCCCCCCCCTTTTCTTCATCCTCACTTCTATGGGATGAATTTTTGTCCTTTTAATAAAAGCACTTTTATTTTTCTTAAATCTTTCTATCATGATGTCAGTCCTCTTGTTTTTGCCATCTTCTTTTGCTTTCATATTGTTTTCTTCATTTAATCCTATTTCTCTTATTCTTTTCTTTTTACGCTTTCCGTTTACAATTAAAAAAAATTCTCTAAACTAGAATAGCAGGTCCTTCATTTTTTCCCAGTTTTTGATTTTTGTTTGGTTGCCAACCCCTTTTCTCAGTCTCTGTCTTTCTTACTGACTGCCCTTCCTTAACCTTCTGTTGATGTTTCATTTCTGTCATTTGTTGTCAATGGCCATATAAACCCATTTCTTTCCATTCCATGTATCTCTGTAGCTCCATCTGCATTTTTAGGATCCTACTACTAAAAGCTTAAAGCTCTGTGTGAAAATAGAAAGGTGGCTTTCCCAATATAAATCCTATTTTCTCTCCCCTCCTATAGCTGTTCCACGTCTATTCATCCTTTCCTGATGTTTCCCCCAGTCTGACCCCCACCTGCACCCCTCTTCCTCTGTCACTCCCAGTTTGATGCCCATGTCTTCTTTCTAACCCCATTTGCACTCTGTCTGATTTTGCATCTAAGGATCTCCACAAGATAAAGGATGGAGTTCTATCAGGAGCCAGATTGTGTTTCAGAAACTTTCTGCACATTTACTGAAATGGGATTAGGGGCTTTGATCTAGAAATATTCTTAGGCAGCCTTTCAGCTCTGGCACAACTTTGCACACCTTGAAGGAGGGTTGGGGCCTACTCTGGAGGACAAGGACAGGGATGTCTTTAAAGGCCTTATGTGGCCCTTTCCACTTCAAAGGTCAGGAAGAGTAGACATCAGCGACCAAGGCTGGAAAACCAGGCCAGGTGGGGATGCCTGGAGCCCTTTTCTGCGGCATTTCAGGCAAGGGAGCTGTTGCGTGGTGTGCCACGGGGCTCCAGGCGTACGGGGGCCAGTGAGGCCCCAGGATTCCCCGGCCATCTTTGGGAGGAGGCTCACCTCTAAAAAGAGGGGAGGCAGGTCTGAGGCAGGGTGTTCCCCAGGGCAGCAGGGCGCGGCCCTAGGGGCGAGGCGACGCCACTCCAGCGGCGCCGAGGGCCGGAGGCACAGTCCCTCCCCTGGAGGAAAGGCGAGTCGCTCGGGGTCGCTCAGACAGAAGGTCGAGGGAACGGCGCGTGTGTCCCTCGCCAGCCATCCCTCTGGGAGCAGGGCGGGGGGGGGGGGCGAGGTGGGGGCGACACCCAGGGAGTAGGGCTGAGGCGGCAGAGATCAATTCAGGGTACTGGCGCAGGGTCACAGACAGGAGAGGAGCCGGAGAGGGGGCCGGTGGGGGCTCCGGAGAAGACTGGGGCCGTAGGTCTGTCTGTGTACCCGGCGGGCGCCCCGAAGTCTGGGGCCGCCACAGCTCCAGCTCCGCCGGCTCCTACCAGCGACTCCAGGCCGCACTTTCCCCTCCTCCCGGCGCCTTCTCTCCAGTGAGGAGCCGAGCGCGGGCGGCGCGGGGGGAGGGGCGGCGGCGGAGAGAACAGCCAGTTGTTTAAAATCCTTCTAGAGCAGTTTCTAATTCCCCCCTTGCGCCGGGGTTCGGAGGGGGGAGGGGGGAAAGAGAGCGGGAGGAGGGAGGAGAACGGAGAGGGAAGGAGGGAGGGAACCCGGGAGGGAGGGAAGGAGGGAGGAGACTGCCGCTTAGACTGTAGCAGCCACCGCGCGCTTCGGAAGGCCGGAGGGAGGGGGAGGCCTGTCAGTCTCGCGCGTTGCCTGGGCGAAGGGGGTGGAGCTTTGGCGTGGGGCGGCCAATAGTGGGGGTGGCTGCGTGGGTCGCCATGGGGACGGGGCTGTTCCCGGGGAGGCTGTGATGGGTTGACAGGTGCGTGACAGTGGGAGCTGCTCTCGGCACAAGCATGTACGGCAAAGGCAAGAGTAACAGCAGCGCCGTCCCGTCCGACAGCCAGGCCCGGGAGAAGTAAGTGTCTCCGCTTCTCACCCACCTCCGCCTTCACACGCGCGCACACACAAGCACGCACTCGCACACTCTCTCGGAGACACACAGACCCAGACACTCTCCGCCTGGGGAGAGCCGGGGGTGGGCTGGCAGGGGGAGGGGTACACGAGGTGGGGGCGTGCGGTGCGGGGAGCGGCTATTTCCCAGGAGGTGCTCGCGCGGGGCGGGCGGCCTTGGGGGGCTGCCTGCGGGAGGGAGCGGGTGTGCTGGGGGGCGGTGGCGGTGCTGGTGCCGAGGATGGAAACTTGTTTGGGTGATTGGGGGAAATAACCCGCGGGTTCACCCCCTCACAAAGTAACTTTAGAGCTGGGGTCCGGGGCTGCGGGGACCTGGAGCGCTGCCGAGGGTCGCGGGGAGGGCGGAGGGGGGCAGCTGCGTGGAGGAGGGCTCGCGGTAAGATTGTGGGTGTTTGGAGGGGCGGGCTGGGGTCGGGGGCAGGCAGGGAGAGGGGCGCCGCGGCCAGGGGCTCCGGCGCCGGGGCTTGGGGCCGGGATCGCCCGGTGAGGTGAGGGCGGCAGTGCCGGGCGCGCGGCGGGCGGAAGCCGGGCGCGGAGCGGCCGAGCGGGGCCCCGCGGGGCGCGGAGACGCGCGCGGGGCGCGGAGGGCGTGTGCGGGCGTGGGCCGGGTGGGCGTCGGGGCTTTCTTCAGCCGGTGAAGAGACGCGGCTTCCGTGCTGCCCAGCGCCTGGCAGATCAGGGGTGGTCGGCGCCCGTAGTGGCGCCGCTGAAGTTTGGGAGTCTAAGAAGGACCGAGTTCCCGGAGAGGAAGAGTGTGCTGGCGAGAAGCGGGATCTGCTGGAGCAGGCTTCTGTTTCTGCCTCGCGGGCAGACCCAACTCCGCGCTGGCGGCTGGAGAACTTTTTTTTGCAGACTTACCGCCTCCCCAACGCCGGGGGGCCGCGGCTGCCGGGGCGGCGGGCCGGGCGGCTCCCGCTGGGCGGTGGTCGCGGGGCGCGCGGGCTGGGAGTTGTGTGAGCCGCAGCGGCCGGGCGGAGGGAGGAAGGTTGTCTGGGGTGCGCTGGGAGCAGTGGTCCGAAAAGGGATTTGCCGGAAGGCGAGAAACGTTGAGGTGGGGAGATACAGGTGTTAACTCTGGTGGGAGCCCGGAGGAGGCAGGCGAGAAAAGAGCCCCTCCCGGCCGGGGATGCTGCTGTCACGGCACACTGCGAAGCAGGGTGGTTTGCTGCTATTCTTATGTACTTGTAACGGTGATTTGGTTGTTACTAAAAATGAGACCGAATAGTGACTGTGACCACTGAGGAAGAACCCCTCTTTTCTGTGCAGCAGATCGGTGATTCCCAGTAACCACCTCCACTTTGAGGGGGAGGCTTATCCTTGTCACTGAACGCGCTCTGCCTTTCCGAGGGGTTTCACGCTGGGGAAAAGTCCGAGAGCATCTCTGAAGAGCTACTTTGGTTACCTTGCGCTTGGAAATAGCGGCGTGTAAATAAAAACCAAATACTCAGACGACCGACTTTCCCTCCTTTAGGCAGTTAGTAGTCTGAAAGTTTCTTGTGCCCTAGGGATGGGAACATTTCCTAATCTTCGTGTTGGCAGCAACACACCATTCCCATAAGATTTAGGGGTGGCAGGCCTTGATGGAGCAAAACAAACAAAAAATTTAAGGAGAGATGCTGGTTTGGTTTGATTTTGTTTCCAGAGGTATTTTCTGAGGAGCTACATTTAGGACCTAGTTGATGTGCCGTGAAATATACAGAAGGCAGTAATATGCCTGGTTAAGAAACAGAAGTTACTAGAACTGAAGTTTTTGAAATAAAAGCCCAATTTATGTGCATTAATCATTTGGTTATAATATACCTGATAAGATTAAAAACAAGATGTTTTAATGATTACACGGTATTGGGATTTCATATTACTGAGCGTGAAGGAATTGAAATGTGTTGAGGCATTTGGGAATGGTTGAATTTGAAAATCAAAGTAATTTTGGATTTTAGTTAGACTCCCAGGAATGTTGACTCTAATCTGTATCCTGATAACTTCCTAAAAAAAATTTTTTTTTAAATTATCTGAGATAATAATGAGAATGTGATGTGTCTCTGATTCTTTCTAGCCTAATTTTGTGATTCTGTCATGAAAACAGATAATTGCCACTTTTGCTGTCCAGTCTACCAAACTGAACGCCAAGTAATATCTACTGTTGAAAGTAAAGTGGTGAAGGTTCTGCTAGATGGTGCTATTTGATTCAAATATATTTCTTCCATTCATTATAATTGGCAGCAGGAATCCTGGACTAGTTTGCCTTATGAACTAAATATAGATGAAGAGGCACTTTTGGGAAATTGACAGTCATTGTTCTGGATTAATTGTTGTTGCATTAATTTCTGGGTGAATGTTGTTGGAGGTAGATTCTATTTTATAGAATAAACTTAGCTTCATTTTGATGGGAGAGTTGATTTGACCTCTCAGGTTTCCCCTTTATTATTCACTTGGGAGTTTAATGGCACTATTCTACAACAGTGTGCTAACTTCTGAAGATAGGGATCTTGAAGTTGTCCTTAAAGTGGATGTTACCAGATTAAAAAAAAAAAAAAAAAATTAAGGTGTCATATTTTAAAAGCTACCTGAGCAAAAACGAATTCTCCTTTAGTAAGAAAGTTAGAATTGTTCTGATCTTAAAAACCACCGAGATAACTTCTTTTTCAGTAATAAATATGCACATATTTATTTTATTTTAATAAAAACTTTCTGAAAAAATGAGTTATGAATAATGGCATGCATATGAAAATACTGGCTTTATACTCTACCAGGAAATGTGTCTTCTAATGAGTTCATGGTGGAGAGCTGACGAGTGCTTACCTATATTATTATCTTTGCTTTCTCTTTCATTAATAGCTTACTGTATGGAATATTTGAAATTAATTTGTAGGTTTTATATAATAGCTAAAGTTTTAGTGTATAGTTCTGAGCATAAAAATGTCCAAAGTCAAGTTAATTGCTTATTTTGTTGTTTTAATTTTTTTTTTTTTTATTTTTTTAAGAGAGATAGTAGGAAGAGGAGGAGCATAGGAAGAGGGAGAGAGAGAGAGGGAGAACTTTAAGTAGGCTTCACACCCAGCACAGAGCCCAGTCAGTGCTGGGCTCTCTGAAGACCTTCAGATCATGACCTGAACTGAAATGAGGAGTTGGACACTCAACTGAGCCACCCAGCCACCCCTGTTTTGCTGTTTTAAAAACCAGAGGATCGAGTCTATACAAAGAGTTGTATTTTTTTAATTACAGAGCGAGTGATTGAAAACCTTTGGTGAGAGGTGATATCTTTGCATAGAAATTTAAATTCTGATCCTCCTAGGTCATTTCCCCCTTTAGCAGGTTTTCCTTGTAACACTGATCACAATTGTAATTAAGTAACTATATAATTGCTTGTTTAATGTCTAGCTTCCTCTAAAATGTAAGTTTTTTGAGGGCAAGGAATGTTATTTCTAATTTCTTCTCTGAGGTATCCCTAACCTTAAGGATAGTGCCTTCAAATGTTGAAAATGCCAAATAAATACTGTTGAATAAATGAAGATGTTAGATCCAAAGGGATTTTTTTTTTTCAGGGTGGAAAGTTTTTTTTTCAATTACCTACAAAATAAGGAATTTGGAAATTTGAGTTCCACATTCTCTAGCTTCGTTGTATTTAAAAAATAGCCAATGACAACAAAACAGTAATTGTTATTTGTCATTCTACATGCTAGCCCCTGTGTTCTGGCATCATGTGTTTTTTCTTTAATTTTCCCAGCGATTCTGCAACATAGTAATTTTTTTTTCTCTGTTAAAGAGATAAGAAAACTAAAACTCTCAGACTCGTTAAGTAATTTGCCCAGGGACACCTTACGAGCTGGGTTTCCAGTAAAGATTACTCTACCTTTAGAACCTGTGGTTAAAGCTGAAAGATATATTTTTTCGGTATACCAGATTGCCTTCCTGATCTAGGGTAAGGTGCTATAGTTTTAGGGAATGGTATTACATAAAGAGATAAAACAGACTTTAAGGATTTGATCACATATGAATTCTTAACCCTTGGTGTACCATTTTGACAGACTGCCGATTTGTGTGTGGTGTGAGCAAGGCATATAAATTTTAGGAGTGGAAGTTGGAAGCCTAAAATAATGGAGAATGCTTGTTTCTTCCAATTTTTCCTTCCAGGAATTTTGTTTGACTACTTAAATTTTGAAATTATATAGGCATGGTAGCTGTGGAAAATTATTCTAAGAAACATTGCTTAACTTTAAGCCATATTGTACCCCACATTGCCACAGAAAGACTAACTGGCACCTGTAAATACATGAGTGGTGATAGTATTCTTATTAAACTAACTGCCTCTTTTAAAATTATGTCATAGCACAGAAAGGTGAATCTTCTTTAAAGCAAAGTTAAACATAAGGTACACCTACCAAACAGTGACATCATATTAAGTAAACTTGTGAGAAACCACAGAAATCAAACTGTGCATCTAACCTGGGGCTCTGAAAAGTAACTTTGGTTTTTCAGTTATGAATCTTTTAGTTGGATATACCAAGAAACAAATACCATCTGTTCATTTTTAAGTGGCTAGGTCTAATGCACAATTTAAATACACAATATAAATACTATGCCATGTCTGTGGCATAGGGATTGTAGGGATTAATATCTGCCAGCATCACCTTATTCCCCTCTTTTTTATTAGTGTCACTCCCCTAAAAAAAAACTGTAAACTTCTTTTTCTTCCTTCCTTTC